ATTCCCGGGTTGTGCGGCAGCTGCCTGAAGCCGATCTCGAGTAGAATTTTGTGCAGGTGCTGCTGCCAGAGACGAGGCGCCTGCTTGATCCTCTTTAGCTGGCAGACCTTGGGGTCTCCTTCTCCGTAGGTGTGTGGCTGCTCCACGAAGGTGGTTGCGTCCACCAACGCATATAAGAATGCGTTCTTCACGTTGATCTGTCGCAGTGGCAGATGCTTAGCGGCAGCTATGGCAAGTATAATCCTGACCGAGGTGTGGCGGCTGACGAGAGCGAAGGTTTGATCGAAATCGATGCCGTGCTGCTGATCGTATCCACGTACGACCCATCGTGCTTTGAAGCATTCAATGGTTCCGTCAGCGTTAGTCTTGAGACGGAATACCCATTTTCCGCTTAGCACCCTCCTCCCCTTCACTGCTGCACGATCGACGAGGACCCACGTATCACGAGATTCCAATGCTTTTAGTTCAGCATCCATTGCTGCAAGCCACTCCTTAGCGTGAGGGCCAGTTAGGGCCTAGCGCGGGTTCTTAGGTTTGACGGCGCAGACGAGGGTGGAGACGGAGGTATGTAGGCCGAGCAGTTGCAGGCCAGACACATTCGTGGTGTCCATAGTGTCGGTGATGGGGACTTCCACCACGTCATCATCGTCGCTCTCGTGGCCGGGCGAGGATGTGCTTGGTTCGGCTTGGCGGCGGGAAGGTCCAGGTGCGGGCGCATCGTCGCTGTTGTCGTCATCATCGTCCATGTGAGGGCGAGGTGGAACACCGGGATGTTCGTCGGTGTCATCGCGATCGAGCGCTGCTGCAGCTGCCTCATCCTCCGGAGATGCAAAGCTACGGCCGCTGTTGACGTAACCGCGGGCTTCGTTACGCCATTCGTCCTCAATCCACTGCTTCAAGGTGAGTCACTCGTAGAAGAAAACATCGCGCGCGGGAACAATCTCCTTGCTGTCCATGTCAAGAATAAGCCACCCCTTGTGCTCGTTGCTGAGTCCCAGATGAACTCCCCGGCGCGCACGATGAGCAAACTTGCCGATTGTTACGGAAGTCGGCCGGTAATGCACCATACACCCCCAAACCCTTAGCATGGAGCCGGTCCACTTCACGTGCGGGGAAAGGTTGTCCCTGTTGGCCATGGTGGAGAGCAGGTTGTGCAGGCGCGCCGCGTAGTTCATGGCGTAGGGCCATAACTTCTTGGGCAGGCCAGACTGGTTCATGAGGGCGCGCATTTTCATCACGAGGGTGCGGTTGACCCTCTCCGCGACGCCTTGTTGCTGGTGAGCGTATGGGAGGGAAATCTCGTGCTTGATCCCCTTCTCGGTGAGAACACTCTCCAGTTCGTTACTGCGGAACTCATTGGCACCATCACTCTGCCAGATTTTCAGCTTCCTCCTCGACTGCCGCTGTGCGTGTGCGAGCCAGATGCGGAAGACTTCTGGGGCCTTTGAGCGGGCGTCGACGTTGACGACCCAGACGTGGCGTGAGTAAGCGTCGATGAAGGTCAGCGTGTATTTTTCGCCGTTGAGGTCATTGCAGGTGAGCACGATGAAGTCACTGTACACCTTTTGTAGCTTCTTGTAGCGATTGGTGCTGGGTTCCAGAGAAGGATAGGCGCTGTGAGTGAGGGCCGCTGTGGGGAAAACGGTGCAAGTGAGCGGGTGTGGGGTGTTGTGCGGTTCAGTGCCGTCGGGGCGTAGGAGTGCTCCTGGGAGGAAGACCTTAGCGCGGAGGCAGTTGGTAAGGGTCTGGCGTGAGGGGTGGCCGAATCGCTGGTGCCAGAGATCATCTTCGGCGCGAATGCCGCTGGTGCGCATGTAGCGAGCGCGGTGTTCTGCTGCTTCCGCCTCCGTCTCTTGCGGAAGTTGGAGAGGGGGTTCTTCCTCTACTCCTGGTTCAACTTCGTCCTCTTCCTCCTCTGCTTTTGCTTCTATTGCTGTCTCCCCTTCTGCAGGTGCCGTCGTGAGGTAGAGGGCGAGGAAGTCACGGTCAAGGATGATGTTCAGCGGCGTCCTCGTGCCTTCGATGGCCTCGCAAATGGATCTGGGCAGGAGACTGGACCGAGTGAGTCACGTGCTGGGGTAGGTGGTACATTCCCCTCCTCAATCTCCGTCTAGACGCTCTGCCATCGGTAGGGTGAGCGGGGAGGTGAGTGAGTGCGAGGGGGTCGTCCGAGCGGTACGACGACACGTGGAGATTCTTCTCCGCGCTCAGCTCGCATCTCCCGCTCTGTTTCCTCCAGCTCTTCCTGTGCTAGATCTCCCTCAGGTGTTTCCTCGGTGCCCCATCCTCCTGTCGTAACCATGCCGCTCCCGGTAGTTCCTCAGGCGCCAGTAGCTGATCCCCAGGTAGCGCCTTCTTTCAGCTCGTAATCTTCGTCTAGTTCAGCGGTGCGACGGCGCCGCGTCGCCATGTTTGCTATCACGTTTTTAGGAGCTCATCCTTGAGTTCCTTGTGTCTGCTGTGGTTGTTGCTGTGCAGGGGGATAGGAAATCTGTCATAATGAGAGAAGTGAATGAACTAGAAAAGAGTTGGGTACATATGGTCAAACCTAAACTTACTGTACCCCATAGGAACTACCCCACTACACCCTAACCCAACTGTAGCAGATATAATATTTCACAAGTTCTGTTGTTGAGGCTGAGAATGACGAGTGTCTTGTCGGCCGACCCAATTGTTATGGTGAGTGGAATTTGGGTGGCGATAGTTGGATCGGGACTTGCATCGATCCGTTGAGTGTCCGAAGACTTTGCAGATTTTGCAATAGTTGCGCCTTGGTTGTCGTCGCTCTTCACGGTTGTCTGTGTAGAAGGCGAGGCGCTCTCGGCGCGGCGCGGAGCTTGTTCTGCTCGAATCCATGTCCTGCTGTTCAGTCAGCAGTGCGGCGCATAGCGCGGCTTTAGAGAGGGTTCCTCGTTGTCGGAGTAGTGCCTTGCAGGGCTTCCACTCAGGCCAAAGGCCTTGGAGAATGATGCTTACGAAGATCTCCTCCGAGATAGAACTTCCGTTCCTTATGATTTGGTCACGGATGTTCTGACAACAGTTGATATAACTGTTTGCTTTCTCCCCATGCCCCATCTTGGTCTCCATGAGTTGTTGCATGAGTTTGCTGGCAGTGACGGAATCCTTCGGCTGATATACCTCTACAAGGTGCTTCCAAGCTTCCAGGGCTGGAGCGGCGCTCTCTTTTCAGGAGCGAATGCCGAGCTGTTCTGCGGGTGACATGTTGCATAGCAGAACGCTGTACGCCATGAGGGACTCACTGTAGTATTGAGCCCGGGTGTCTTCGGTGTCTTCCACCGGTTTAGGATAGGAGCTGTCAAAGTAGTGGTAGATCTGCGCTGTCTGTAGGAGGATCTCAAGCTCAAAACTCCATGTGTAGAAGTCCTTGCCGTCAAACGCGGCCGTAGTCTTGATTTTTGAAACACTAAGAAAGCATGCTTGCGTAGATTTGATGGTCTCGTCGCTTGGACGGGGGGCAGTTGTTGCAGATTTGTCTGAGTCAAGGGAGAAGCCGTGCGCGGTGGTATCGCGGCTTTTCGCAGCCGGTTGTCCAGGTTGAACTAGTTGGGAAGTGGTTCCCGCATCGCCTTTGACCTGCAAGGAAAAACAGACGAGGTGCAAACAAGAAACACAAGTAGAAACTACATGAACTACAACGGAATGGAAAGACCACGCAGGCTGATGCTTCACGTCGGGCGCATACGGGGCTGAAATAGAGAAACAGGTAAATAGGATGTGCTATATAGGAAAAAAAGGCAACACTTCGAAAGTGCGGAGAAAATAGGGGAGTTCCGTCTCACATACTGGCTCCGCAGTGGCGCCGCGCGGTGTGAGTCGGTCTGCAGTACGTGATGCTTGGTTGTGAGGCTCGGTGATTCTGAAATGGGGCGCGAGGGGAGAGACATAGGGTCGCGCGGGACTGGGCAAGTACTCAATCCGACCAATACTCGCTAGAGATCGAGCAAGGGCAAAACTGAACAAACAAGGCCGAAATGAATGCTATGAAAGAGTCAAAGTAGATACATCGTGGTGAGAGAATAGCGCAGATATTGGGAGCTGGGCTTTGCAAAAGGCGCTGGACGCGCCAAACGAAATGCGGAGTTATGAATCTTACCTGGGAAAAAAAAGGCAAAAAAAAAAACAAAACAAAACAAAACAAAAAACAAACACTTCGACTCGGTGTCTGAAGAAGCTTGGGACTTAGCAGCTGCGGAGACAGCGGTGATGACGAACCAAAAAGAGAAGCGGCTGCGGGGACATAAAAAAAATACAAGTGATTTTTCTACTAACAGCTTGTCGATCAGATATAACGAAGGCTCGGAGCATTGCGCGCGCACAAAGAAGCAAGATGACGAACAAGCAGGTACACCACCCACCTCGCTCGCCTGTGAACCAGGGCTGTTGATTGGTTTTAGGTTGGTGGTTTTCGATGGTTGATGAGGTGACATTCGCTTCACCCTGCTTCCTGGCAGTTAACCATCGAATGCGTTTGCTGGCCTTAACCTGTGCAAGGATAGGCCTGTGCGCAACATGTCACTTGCAGCAAGTGACCCAAGAGTGAAGGGGACTGGATTTGGAACTCGCCCGCTAAGGTGAAATTTGTTATAGTGATAGGGGTGCGCTTCTAACAAATCACGTTTTTTTAGGGGGTGCGCTTATATTTGAGAACTGAATATAACTGCAATGCTCCATAAAGATGCCTATGCAGTTTTCCAAGGTCTGTACTTCGTAGTGTCAGCCCTGGCGTGGAGGGTTGCACATGATTCAGGTGGAAACGAGGATTTCCCTCCACTAAGCCAAGACAAGTCAAGCCGTCCTATAGTGTAAAAAGTCAAGCCGTCCTATAGTGTAAAAAGAAAAGGTGTAAAAATGAGCAAGTAACGGTAAGTATCACAAACAGCAGGGCAGTCCCTTGGGCCCCCCAAAGCAATCAAGAGGCTGCAATGATGCATACAATGCAACAATGTCACATATGAACCACGAGAAAACCCATCCCAATCCTAGACTGGGTGTTCGGTGATGAAGCTGCCCCTATCCGCAATCATTTGAAGTTGTGCCTCCAGGCTGTCCTCACCCGCAACAACATCCTTCATCTCCTGGACCTGCGCATCCACCTTGATGGCAGCGCCAGATTCCTCTTTCCCCGACACTTCCTCCCTGACAGCCTGCAGCTGGGTGGCAATGTGCGCCATGCTTGGGCGGCTTGCAGTGCGCTCCACGGTGCAGCTCATTGCCAGCTCAGCCAAGCGCTGCACAACATCCCCAGGGGCGTCCATGGTGGGGTGCTTGAGGCTCTCTAAACCACCCGATGACAGGCACTCGGATACCTGAGAGAGTGGAACAGGATGGACAAAATTGCAAGTTTGTAAAGGTGAAATACACATCAGTCAGCCTATGAAGCAGAATATATCACTTCAATTGGAAGAATGCGATTATGGAAACATGCAACAAGCTTCCTGAGTGGAACTTACCCACACCACGATGTGCTGGGTCTCCCCAGCATCCTCGACAAGTGAAAACCGTCCAGTGAGCACCACAAGCATGAGCACACCAAAGCTGCAACGTGCGAGAGGTGGTGAGAGCAATGTGATGGTGAGAGCAACGCAATGGTGACATGCATATGACAACTCTATTGTGTGAATCCAAATAACCTGTAGAGGATCTCAGTGGTGTTCCATGACATGCTTGTTCCATGTGCAAGTTTGATGCATAAGCCAATATCGACATGACATCTGACAGGTTAATGCCACTCTTTTGATTCCTCGGAGTCTTGTTTATTTGAGCCAACTCCCAGAGTCTTCTGGCTCACATAGCACGATCTCTATATGGCTCTTTGCTCACCTGTAGACATCGCTGGCTGTGGTGGCCTTGGAAGTCAAGATGTAAACCGGATCCACATAGCCCGGTGTTCCCATGATTCGAGTCGTGCCCACTGTCGTGCCCTCTTCCACCCTCACCAGCCCAAAGTCTGCAATCTTCGGCTGATGGGTGGTTGGATAAATGTGATAATAAGAATGCACCAGCACAAAAGAAAGAAACAACAATGGTGACAAAACAAACGACATACGCTGGTAGCATCTAGACACAAGAAACACGAACGTGTAAGTGAGCGTGAGCCATATGCAGAACTAGAAAAAAAACGAGACTAGATGAGCCAAACGAGAACAACCAATTTATTTGGCATAGCTCTGCCTTTTCCTATCAATTCTCGTGGCTAGTTGCTTTCCACAGAAGCATCTTGTTATGCAGTGTGAGATGCTGCAGCCGCGCTTGCCTGCATGTCGCTGGTGATGAGGATGTTGGCGGGTTTGATGTCGCGATGCACAATGTCAAAGCTATGGAGGTACTCAAAGCCACGTGCAACACCAACGAGGATGTCTAGCCGTTGCTTCAGACTCAGAGAAAAAGGTGCATCTGCAACAAGCCACGGGATGAGTTTCACGACAAGCATCACCAGGCAGCATGAGTGGCCTACCACGAGTAACATTGTACAAGGGAATGCGACACAACAACTTGCACACTTACTTGGTCCTATCCACTTATGGAGGTCACCATTGGGCACAAACTCGTAGATGAGGACTCGCTCTATCTGAGACCTGACGTCCCCTCCCACCGCAAACCCAAGCAGTCGCACAATGTTGGGATGGTTCTTGTCGGCCATTTGCATGACCTGGAGGAAGTGAGAACCGGCACACGGGAACAGGAGGAAGTCAGCAGGAAAGAAAGAGTAGGTTGAGAAGAGAAGGAGGAACAGTGATTCTGCTCGCTCAGCTTAGGGAAGCTGAATAGTCCTGATCAAAATAGATAGCACATTCTTAGATGAAGCGTCTTTATGTTTGAAAGTAATGGAAAACCGAACTGTCTTATCCCCATGTTGACTGACGGAGTCTGTAGTCCAGCCATCTCCCCATATGCGGCACTCACCTCCCCCTGGAATTCCGCGCCCATGAGCTTGGCGCGCTTCACAGCCCAGGGTGTGGTGCGATCACGGGGAGAGACACCCTTGTAGACATCACCAAAGGCACCCGAGCCAAGCAGGTTGTCGTCGGACCAGTCGTTGGTGGCCTTGAGCACCTCCTTTAGCGAGAACTCCGTGCAGTGGGTGGCTGCCAGGCTGGCCCCTGGGCATGGCGGTGGGGTGGGGGGCGAAGAGTGAGGAGGTAATGAGCGAGCCCTCGCCTTGTCCTGCCTTGTTATCGAGCACACGCATACAAAAAAAGTAGACGAAAGGAAGAGGAACCATGCTGACTAGGAACATTGAGGAGGAGGGGAGGTGGGAGCTGAGCTGTGCACATGGAGCACCAGTCCTGCTCCTCCTCCATTTTGAGATTTGCCGCTTCTGATGCCTGAAGCAGAGCAGCATGGCAGCCAGAAGCAGGAGGAGGACGACCACAGCAGCAATGGCAATGCCAATAATGGCTCCCACTGATACACCACCTCCACCTCCAGATGCTGCTGCTGCTGCTGCTGCTGCTGCTGTTGCTGCTGCTGCTGGTGCTACTGGTGCTGGTGTTGTTGCTGCTGCTGCTGCTGCTGCTGCTTGAGCACAACAAAACCATGTCAGGTGAGCTAAGGGATACGAAGTCATCTGAGCAAAGAGAATGAACTGCCAATCACAACAGCACAAGTATGGCAGAAGTGGGGGCGATTCAAATAAACCAGGCACAGCTTCATCACCCCCACTAACCTGCTTTTTGCTGGCACGCAAAACAGGTGATGGCACAATCCTGGCAGAAGGCCGCCTTTGGCGATAAGGTTTGGGCGCAGGTGGTGATGTCAGCAGCAGGACAAGTGAGGCTGGTGCCAGATGTGTCGCTGCAGTGGAAATGGGCAGATCAGCACAGGAGAGAATATGCTTGGGGCAACTTGTGTGCAGATGGTTGCATGCACAAGCTCGAAACAGATTTATATAGCTGTCAACTAAACGTGGATTAACCGAACCTTGGTTCGGTTTAGGCAAACCGGTTCGTGTGGAACCAAAGTAGAGTTATGTTTTCATCTTTTTTGGTTTGACAAGATCCTGTTAGGCCAATTTGACCTGTTCGATCTCTGTTCGGAGGGGCAACTTGAGTGCAAGTTCAAATTCAGGTAAGAAATGGGAATTGGAGTTCATTTTTAAACTTTTAATCCTTCTTAGCTATCTCCTCGTCACTGAATGGGGCCATCGTCCATCAAAGTGGACGTCCGGGCCAAGCCTCGTTCACACCACAAAGTGGATAACCTGTGAGTTTGAATGCCACATTGATTTGCGGAGGTCGAGTTACAAGAAAACAACATAAACATTTCACAGATGCCCAAAACTTTATGCGCCATCCCAACAGCCATTGTGTTCGACAGCCCGGTTTTATTTGTTTTCTTTGGTCATGACGACTTCGCGATTTCGTCATGCGCCATGTCGGAATCTCCCTTCAGCCCTGCTCAGTACTGTCTCTCTTTGCTCCTCCTCTCATGCCTCTTCCTGCCGCCTTCTTTTTGCTGCTTCCACAACCCTCCTTCCTCACCCTTCCCTTCTTGCCCGCCCTTGCTCACTTGACTCCTTACCCCACTTTCTGCTTTCCCTTATTTCTGGCTGCCACTGATTCAACCCCCTCCAAAGACAAGTCCCCTCCTACCCCATTCGAGTGCTTGTTATGGCTCCGCCTTCTACTGTTCAGCTTCAAGAGTATAGCACAGTAAGAAACGGAAACATACAAGCAATGGCAGTCCCATGGCCCGCACGACCCTTGTCTACCTCATCCTATCCTAGGCTTGAAGAGGACACTCAACGAATGTCCCTTCCAGATCTAGGCCACCAAGATTTTCTAACCACATCCAGCTAGTTACAGTGACTTCCAGCTTCGCACGGGCTCGGCGTCTGCAAAACAGAAAACACAAAAAATGCATGCACTCAAGCACCAATCATTCGCCACCCCCAATGTAACCCTTCCTCACAGTCCTGTTACCGCCCGGCTGCCACACTTGCACTTCGCCATCCTCTCCTGTCAGGTTGCCCCTTTCCGAACCCCAACCGCGAGGCTTGACCCTTCTGCCCTCTCTCCTTAGATGTGTCTTGCTTATGTACAAATGTACACCACTCCCCCGTACACCGCTACACTTCCCTCTGTCATATAACTCTGGTTATTAACCATAGTTTTCTGACAGCCAAATTTTGGCTATTAAGTCATGGATGGCACAGGACACGAGCGGCAGGAGCCTCCTCGCAGCAGGGGCCGCACGCACGCTGGATGAGTTGTGCTATGAGGCCGATGACGATGGGTTTTGAGATCTGGACCCAAGACTAGACACCTTCTAGTAATGTTGGCGCCGGCATCAGCAATGAGAAATCAGTGGGAAACTCCTCGAATGCAACGATAGTGTAAAGATTCCGATTCCACTCATTCCACCTTCAAACAATACTGCGAATATTCCGAGGAGGAAGTAAAAGGGAAGCTTGTGGAGTGTTGCTCATGTAACCACACTATCAGTCATAGCCATGGTCGCTGCACCATGCATTTCACCGAGTGGCCAAACTAAGGATGCCACGAAGTGCGAATTTTCCCGGCCGTTCTCAAGGAGGTGGAGAGAGCTACTCGTGAAGCAGCAAGTACGAAGACTGCTGGGGGCTGAGAGGGCGAGAGCGGGGAGCGCCACGATTGCTTCGGTTGGAGGGCACACCTCTAACAAGCAAAACGCTACGGATTACTTAAGGGAGAGGTGGCCGCGAAGATAACAGCGGCGGATGAGGCGATATGCCTGTACCACGCTGCACTGCACCTACACGAGGGGCACGTCGAGCACCCGTTCGTTTGCCACATGGTGCCGACAATCGTTGTAGTGGGGAGCCTTTACTTGCCACCAAAGGCGTTGTGTTGGAGGTGCAGCTCTGCAGCAGCGTCGCAAGCGGGTCGGGTCTGCATTGTCGCCAGTGGAGGCTAAGTTGGAATGCACGCTGTTTGCATATGATACGCTAGCATATATACGCTGAATGTTTCTTGGGAGAGGTCCGGTACGCAGTGGATACGCGAGCACATAAAAAGTGAGGAATGCCAGACAGCAGTGATGTTCACACAGAAAAGCTACGCAGCTTACAGGTAGTCCAATTGAGCAAGACTCCCAAGTGTGGCTGGAATGATTCCGGAAATTTTTTTTTGGTGCACATCCCTGTACAGAAGAGCAGGACATTATTAGTAAGGACATCTAGAGGAGCAGTTGAATACACAAGAAAGTTCAAAATTGGGTAGCACTTATGAGTTTTACTAAAGCAACGAATGCGTGAATTCAATCAAGACCAGCCAGATGGTTGGTTTAGCAGGTAGGAAAGATGCAGTGGTTGGAACTTGTACGGATTGATTGGTTTGGAATAGCAATAGCAAAACGACCAAATGCAGAAGACTGAATGGAATTGTTGAGGTTGAGAATCAATAATCGCAGTTTTGAGTTCTGCCAATTCAGGGGATTTGAGTTTTGCCAATTCAGAGATTTGAGTTCTTCCAATTCAGGGATTTGAGTTTTGCCAATTTAGGGATTTGAGTTCTGCCAATTCAGGAACAAAAGCATGAATCTGAAGTACAACAGCAGGGAGGAACATGGAGTCGCAAAGCGATGCAGCGTGCAGAGGAGGGGAGGAGTGGGCATGCAAAATGCATAGGCAGTGGTGGGGTGTCAGCAGTGATGCGCACCTGGCATGCAGCACCCAGTGGACACAGGAGCACGCACGTGGAGCAAACCCAGTGCGCGGCTTACAGTGTCCCGAGATATAAGAGTTTGGAGATGCTGTTGTGAATGGAGCCGGTGAGGGAGTTAGAGCTCAGATCCCTGTGTGGGTGAGGGAGTTGGACGTGGTGAGGCGAGAGGCTCAGAAGCCTGTCCACAAAGGGTGGCAGGGACTTAAAATGATTGATCACTTTGGAAGGGCTATTACAAGGCAAGCGGGTGCACAGGAATGACAGAGATTGCAAAGATTGACTCTGTAGTTGCATATTTGAGTTCTGCCAAAGCAGTAAACATTTCAGGGTTTTGAGGTTAATTAACAAGAACAGGAATTTGAATTAAAAAAATAAAGGAGCAATGTGCTGAAGACACCAGAGGGGGTGAAGAGTGGCTGTACAGAGTGCATGGGCAGTGGAGGAGTGCCAGCAGTGATGCACACATGGAATGCAGCAACCAGTTCCTAGTGAACAGAGCAGCCCACAGGAAGAACAGTGTGCCACTCACAGGTATGTGACTACCGTGAGTGCGGAGATGCTGCTGGGAATAGATCCTGCGAGATAGTTAGAGCTGAGATTCCTGTGTGGGGTTGAGTTGAGTGATTCGGACGTGATGAGACGAGAGGCTCACACCCCGTTTACATAGCGTGGCTGGAACTTGGAAGGATTGATTAATCGGGAGCTTCAGCAAGGCAAACGGATGGAGAGAACAGACTGAGATTGTACAGGTTGAGATTGTGTACTGGCGGGAATGAGTTCAAAACAACACTTAGGTTCAATGAAGTACAGCAAGTAGGTTGGTGCAGTAGGGCAGAACAAGGAGTGGCAAATGGATGCAAACGGCAACGGATGGAACCAGTGTGTTGAGTGCATGGGCAGTGGAGGAGTGCCAGCAGTGATGCGCACATGGCATGCAGCACCCAGTGGACAAAGCAGCACGCAGGTGGAGCAAACCCAGTGCGCGGCTTACAGTGTCCCGAGATATAAGAGTTTGGAGATGCTGTTGGGAATGGAGCCGGTGAGGGAGTTAGAGCTCAGATCCCTGTGTGGGTGAGGGAGTTGGACGTGGTGAGGCGAGAGGCTCAGAAGCCTGTCCACAAAGGGTGGCAGGGACTTAAAATGATTGATCACTTTGGAAGGGCTATTGCAAGGCAAGCGGGTGCACAGGAATGACAGAGATTGCAAAGATTGACTCTGTAGTTGCAGATTTGAGTTCTGCCAAAGCAGTAAACATTTCAGGGTTTTGAGGTTAATAAACAAGAACAACAAAACAACACGTAGGTTCAATGAAGTATAGCAAGTAGGTTGGTGCAGTACGGCAGAACAAGGAGTGGCAAATGGATGCGAACGGCAACGGATGGAACCAGTGTGTTGAGTGCATGGGCGGTGGAGGAGTGCCAGCAGTGATGCGCACATGGCATGCAGCACCCAGTGGACAGAGCAGCACGCAGGTGGAGCAAACCCAGTGTGCCTCTTACAGAGATGTAAGTGCTTTAAGCACAGAGATCCTGTCGGGAATGGAGCCCACGAGCGAGTTGGAGCTGAGATCACTGTGTAGGGTTGAGTGAGTTGGACGTGATGAGACGAGAGGCTCGTAAAATACAGTCCATTATTTACGATCATATAAAAAAAATCAGCTGTTCTTTTGCTTGAGAACCCAGGTCACAAATAAAGGAAAGAAAAAATGGTTGAATACTTTCACAATCATGGCCACAAAGGGCAACATGCAAGGAAGGGCTAACAACTATGTGCAGAACTTGATGAATGAGTACCCGGCCTCCCCTTCGTCCTGCTTAGGTATGGTCCCATGATTTGGTGCCCCGCTAGTTTGATAACGACCGTCTAAAACGACGTTTCTTTAGAACCAAAGACCTCTTGGAACCGTACTAAAGCGTTTTTAACG